AAATAAATAAAATAATAAAAAATAAAAAAATAATAAAAAAAATAAAAGCATCCTTTCTCCATCCCCCCAAAAGAAAGTCTTAGTGACCCCCCCCCACCCCGTAGAAATCTCCCTTTGTTTTCCCCTACCAGCTGAAATCTGCCCGGCAACCCACAGCTTCCAAACATCTGGCCCTTACCTCTTCCCTCCCTGTTCATGTCTCGGCCACTCGTCCCGTTTGAAATATAGATGAGCTGTCAGCGGCCGGCCTCCATCTGTCTGAAACACCGCCTGGCACACATGTTTAAATCATGTCACCAGACATGCCCGGGGCAGGGTCACTCTCCAAGTCACCAGCGGTCAAACGGGCTCAAACGTGCTGAGCACAGAAAGCTGAAACTTCCAGTTATCCGGTGTCAGAAATGGGAAGAAATCAAGGCAGGGTTAGGAATAGGCGCAGAGGTCTTTGGGAAAGAAGGTTTTAATTTAACCCTTTAAAGCCTGATCCAAGAAAAATAGGAAGAATATTGGATTATTTTTAGTCTGAAGTCTTTCTTTGGCCCCTCAACAACATATGAAGAAGAAAAAACAGAAATTATTTTGATCAAGTTAGCGTGCAATAAGTCAAAAATATATTTTGATGTAGTCTTCTACTGGCTGTTATCAGGTATATCTGAATGTGTACAACAGGGGTTTGAGCAAAGCTTTTACCACTGAATGATGAAAAAAGTCTCAGATCCAAAAGACTTCAGAAACCGTATGAATCAAATATGATACAATTGGCATTATAGGGTTAACCAAAAGCACACTCTTAAAGAGTGGAAGACGAGGAAAAATACAAAAACGAGGTAGACAAAGCTATGAGCAAAGTATCATCGGTGGATCAGAGTCCAACCGGATGTGAGAAATGGTAACTCAAGGCAGGACTCAGGCGCAGAGATCTTGGCAAAAATTTTTTAATTTTTAATTTTGGTTCCAAAATTACACTCTCAAGGAGTGGAAACAAAGTGCAAAAGAAGGTAGACAAAACTATGAAAAAAGTATGAAATCAAAATCACTCTTACGAGGCAAAAACAAGACGGTGGACAAAGTATCAAAATAGAATCACTCAATAAGTCGAGGATGGAAAAAGGGCTATGAAGCAAATTAACAAAATAATACTCACGAGACTAAACTAGGAGGATCGGAAAACAAAATCACTCTTTCGAGGTTTAACAAGAAGCAAGGCAAGGTTTGGTTCAAGGACAAGGTTAATGGTCAGTTAGGGTCAAGAGACGAAAGACGAATGAGGAAACACACTGGCCCAAAGATAAGAAGAGACTCAGACTATTTAAACACAAGGGAAGGGAACCCCAGGGGAACCAATCAGGGAAAAATTGAACCAAAAGCACACTCTTAAGGAATGGAGGACAAGGAAAAATACAAAAACGAGGTAGACAAAGCTATGAGCAAAGTATCAAATAATAATCTCTCAAAAGAGACGATGGCAAAAGTTACAAAGTATGAAATCAAAATCACTCGTATGAGGCATAAACAAGACTGTGGACAAAGTACAAAATAAACTCACTCCAAAAGGAGGCATAAACGGGGTTAAAGGTAGAAGACAAGGATTACGATACTATGATGGGTTGCTCAATATAATGAGGACGAAGGATGAATGACAAAACCCAATGGCCAAAAGACAAGGAGAGACTCAGACTATTTAAACACAAGGGAAGGGAACCCCAGGGGAACAAAATCAGGGTAAATGAGCAGACATGTGGCCTGAAACAAGGGGATGTACCTTTCAAAATAAAACAGGAAATGACAAGACAACCATGGAGACAGGACAAAAACACCAAAAATTCCCCCAAACGTGACACCCATAGACTGTTTCCTTTGGTGTCTCCATTCAACGAATGGTGGGATTAACTACTATTAAACTTCTGGTCGGTTTACATGTGTCAAATGCAATGGATTGAATTAGCTAAATGAGATTTGTTATACTATTTTGCAGCTAACTCAGGTTTAGCGTGTTCCTGGCAGTGCTTGTGTAGGCTCGGTGAATTTTAATGGCTCTAAAGTTAAGATGAAAGCCTTCGCTTGGAAGAAATAAAAAGCAGAAAGTCGCAATTGCATCGTTCCTTCACAACATCACACTTTGATTATATCCCTCTTTTAAAAACTGCCACTTCTTTTAATTGCAACCGTGACACGCTATCATTTTTTATTCAAAATATGTTTTGAAGAGGGTGCTGGTGTGCGTAATTAGCACCTCGTCTGAGACATCGCAGACAAAAGATGTTCTCCGGGGGGCATTTTTCAGTTAAATGTGAAGGTAGCATGAAGGGACGAGTGTGTGTCGACAAATAAAACAAAGTTACAGTCTGAAAACTGTATGAGAGGGAGTCTAAGCAGAAAGGCCCCCGATGGGATTTGAACCAAACACCTCCGGCTGTACAGACCTAGCTTTTTTAAAATCTAAAATAGTTTGCTATGGCTGGAAAAATAAAACGAGTTTCTGTCTTCTCCTGGTTTCTGCTTTAATGCCCAAACCTAAATACTTTTTCCCCAGAAGCTTCTGAGCTATCCAGATGTTGCTCTGTATCCACTGGTTACCCCCCATTTACCCCCGAGGTCTCTGACCATGTACCGAAACGAAAAATCTGTGTGCATACATGTATTTAAGGGTGAGCAGATCCAGTTGAGTCGAACCAGAAAAAGTCTCATGTGTATGTTGGTGGAATGATTGGAGCCAATCAGAGCCAGTCAGAAAGTGAATTCAGTTCAGATAAAAACTAAAAACAGAAAATCCAAAGATGCCAAATGCAAACTGGGAGGAAGACTCTGGTGAAGCAAAAAAAAATTAAAATAAAACCTACACTATACAAAAACAAAGCCAGGAGAAATACTGAGGGAGGGATTACAAAACCAGTGGCCTAAACAAGCCAAAAGGACAAAGACAGTGTGTCCTTGAGCTCATTCCGTGAAACGGAGGAGGAATAAAAGCTGTGAACGTGTCGGCTCATCAAAGCCTCAGAGATCTGCTCACATCCAACAGGACCACGTCTCATGAGGTTTATATACTGTAGGTGGAACTAAAGAGTTAGGGAGAAAAACCAAAGGTAGCTTTGGTCCCTCCTGCTGGGGGGCAATGGAGGTCACCTGGGGGGGGCTGATGGTGGTTAGCAGGTAAACAACCAGAAATAAGTGGAAGAAAAAGCAAACAATGAATAATAAGTGGAAAAAGCAGAAAAAACAAGCAAAAATAAGTAAAACAAACAGCAAAACAACCAAATATAAGTGAAATAATCAGCAAAACAACCAAAAATAAGTAAAAGAAGCAGAAAAAGATCCCAAAATAAGTGGAAGAAGCAGCAAAAAAATAACAAAAATAAGTGGGAAAAGCTTAAAAACAACCAAAAAAAAGTAAGAAAAAGCAGCAAAACAACAAAAAAAACAGTGGGAAAAGCATAAGAATAACCAAAAATAAGTGAAAAAAGCAACAAAACAACAAAAAACGGTAGGAAAAGCATAAAAACAATAGAAAATAAGTGGAAGAAGCAGCAAAACAACCAAAAATGAGTGAAAGAAGCAGCAAAAAGCAACTGGGAAAAGAAGAAAAACAACCGAAAATAAGTTAAAGAAGCAGCAAAACAATGAAAAATAACCGGGAAAAGCATAAAAACAACAGAAAATAAGTAAAACAAACAGCAAAACAACCAAAAATAAGTCAAAGAAGCAGCAAAACAACCAAAAATAAGTAAAAGAAGCATCGAACAAACCCAAAATAAGTGGAAGAAGCATGAAAACAATCAAAAATGAGTGGAATAAGCAGCTAAATATTTTTTTTAATGCACAGCCCGATGCTAACCCGAGTGGTCCAGCTAGCCCGGTTTCCCAGAAGAAGCGCTCATCCTTCCTGACAGCAGCCGGGAAGTTCGACAAGTCAGATAAAATGGAAATGGAGAAGGGGGGGGGGGGGGAGGGGGGGCGGTCTTTATTGGAGGGGGGCGAGTGGGTGTCTGGGAGATATCTTCAATTGAGTGTGCTCTGGTCCCTAAATGGGTTTTCTGGGATGGGGGCGAATGAAAGGCCCTGTCATCTCTGTTTTTTCTGCCCGCCTGGTCCTGGTTTCTGGCTCGTCCCCGGGTTATTACGCCTCCCTAATGAAATGTGGAGCGCCCCGCGAAACCGTATTAGTGTGTAAATGCTCCGGGAGTAATGAGAAAGCACTCAGGCCAGATGGGCAGACCAACGGATAACAGAAAAACCTCTTTGGTCAGCAGCTCTGAGGCCCAGAGCTCCAAAGCAAGAACATAACAGAAATAAATAAACTGGTTTGGTGCTCCGGCTGTAGACAAATTTATTAAAAATGTTAAGGGCCTCTTGTTATGACTCATAGTCAGATGAGAGAGGCTTTAAAGACGTAGATATGAGATATTTTTCCTGTATTTCCCCCCCAAAAAAGCACTTTTCAGAAAAAAAAACCTGATTGCACCTTAACCCTATAATGCCAAATGTATCATATTTGATATATACAGTTTCTGAAATGCTTTGCGTCTGACACCTTTTGCATAATTTACTGGTAAAAACTTTGCTCAAAATCCTAATTTACACAATCAGATACACCTGATAACAGGGGACAGAAGTCTACACAAAAAATAATCTTGACTCATCGCATAGTAACAAATGATTAATA